TCTATGTCATATATGTACTTTGGACATATTCTAATGCTAATGTGCAGGATATTTAGTTGACAAGCTTTATCTGTTTTAATCACATCATTTAATGCATAAAATTGAAATTCCAAACATACTGGTAGGTACATTTGAAATATCTCATTGTTAAAAGAATATTTTGGTTGTAGCTAAAAGTGTAATGTTTCAATGACCAGATGCAGGTGGTTGGAGGAACAAATGGACAAAGAGAAACATTGTTTTGGAAGTTTCTATCAAATTTACAGTTTCTTTTGGATGGTGCTTCATGTAAGACCTAACATTGGTTCTAGGTTAAATAATGCAAGTTTAATAAAATAGACTGAAATTCTTCGTGTGTATGAAATATTAAAATTTACAATCGTAACAGAACATGGATGACTTATCCGAAGTTGCACTTTACAAATATTCTGTATAAATAGTCCATCCGTCAGCAATATCCATAGAACATACGTACTGTTATTTAGTAATTTAAAATGTGAATTAAGTTTGTTTTCACAAACTTCATCTCTTTAGATTTCTTCACCAGAACATGAAAAAGGTACTCATAATTAATTTTTAGGCGGAAGCCGCCTATTACATTTGCTTTGTTGACCTTTCGACCTCTCAAGATGTTTGCCCCGTTTCATGGTACTCCAAACGGATGTATCTTAAACTAAGGGCATACAACTCGCTAAATCATATTCGAACCTCTTCCCAATCTTTATCGTTATTATCATATCAAAAAGCGTGTGTTATGGCGAATTTATTTTAACAATTTATTTTGATTAATGTAAAAAAGTCCAATAAAAATAACAGCCTAACAAAAAAACGAACAGTTATTTTAGTACTCCTGATATGTTTCACTTTTGAGAGAAGAACAACGACAACACATAAACAAATCGGGTTCAACATTTGATAAGGGGGGCCTGAAGCATCTTTAGAAATACTACGAGGGAGAAAATAGTTCAAGTGGGTAATTATTTTAAGAATTAATGACAGGTACATAGCTACTGAGAAACTAATCTTTTCAATAATCTTGTATAAATAAAAAAGAAGAAAAGAGATATGTAATGCCTTTTATCAATTGTTTATTTATATGTACTACATTCGCGCAACAGTCTAACATAAGACGATTCAGCGTGAAATTACTGTCAACAAACCCACGTGGAGCGCAAATGATTTACAATGGTTAAAGGGAAATGACAGGCCTACTTTTTCAAAATAACAAGGTAATAGGTTTTTTTTGATAACCCCTATTTTTATTGTCACCCTTTCTTTTTTGTTTTAACTTGAAAATTTCGCCTCCCTATGCAGGCATGCTTTAGATATCGTAATATGATAGCTGTTATGGTGGGGTCTTATGGAACGAACTGGTACTCTATAATTACCATGATTACTGCCTGGGAGAAATTATTTGAGGAATTATCATGCCGAGTTTGTGTTACATTTATATATCCTTTTTCTTATGTTTTAATGTAAAAAATTATAAAAAAAGGGAGGGGCCAAAACTAAAAAATTTGGACAGAAATTTAGACGCAAGCGTAAGAAATTGTTTTTTTTTGTATGATGTGCCCCTTACGGAGCCAGCTAACAGAAAGTGGGAAAAAATAAATTTTGCATTGTAAATTTGCTCTGTGTCACCTCTAAATGGAAAAAAGAAAACTTAACTCAGCACAACCAGAAACACTTTTCTGAAGGTGAGTAATCAATTTATTATATTTCAGGGGAAAAAATTTTTCATAATTTTATGAAAATTTTTTGGGGATGGCAAAAAGGGAACCAAATACTATTTTTGTAAGTGTATTTTGACATTTCTTTTTTTGTGATTTTGGTTTTTTTTTCTTTTTGGGGAAATCATGCAAATTTATATGATTACTGATAATGTAGGCTTTTAAAGAAAAAAAAAAAATAAAAAAAATATTGGGGAAATCAAATGGAAATATTTAATAATCCTTTTATTGATTTTTCCCAATTTAATACACATTTTACAGGTAAAAGTAGATAAAAGATTGATCTTAGACCTTTTTGAGCTTGTAACCCCAAAGCTGATTTTTTTGTTTATCAATGTAGTACATTTTCCAAACAATTATAAATTTTCCTTTGGAAAATTTTTTTGGTACTAAAATTAGTTATCAAATAAAACACAAATGCACAATACCCCCAAAATTACAAACGGTTTTTTTTAATTAAATTATTTTTTTTCAAACTGCTGTGTACACATGTAGGTTATATAACTAGCAAAAGAGAAGGGACAGATGTTGTTGGTCGGGATCCTATTTATTTGTTTCGTTGGTTGTTTCCAGTATACGTACACTAAATTTACAGTTACTACAAAAGGGGTTTGACTTTCAGCAGTTTTGAATCTTTCGTTATTTCTATATACCCACTTCACTCTTGAAGGGGGAAATAGTGGCATTAATTTTTTGTGCATGTCAGATTTCACTGAATGAATAAATGAATGTAGCCCAAAGGGCCCAAAAAACAGTTAGGTGAGATGAAGAAGCTAATTACCATTTGCATGTTTTAGTCATAATTGATAAGTTTTGATAAAAATGTGTTTCTTGAAATAAAAAAAATAATATACAAAAAAAATTAACCGGTCCCTTTATTTTTAGTATTTGATACTTGGACGTTGGATCGAGTACCCGGTAAAGTTGACTTCCCTAAAAATTATATTAAAATATACATAAAAGGTTATTTGAGGTCCTTGATTTCATTTATTGAAAGTCGGATACATTGTAAAATAATTTTTGTTAAATAAACATTACGAGATATTTCTAATTTTTTTTTTAATTATACACTTTGAAGAAAATTCTCCCAAGAGAAAGTTGTGAGGGGAATGGTGTAGATAATCTCCAGAAAAAAAAACACCACTTATATTGGGATGTATGTACCAATATTTTACAATCATCATAGACAAATTTACCACTGGAATTAAAAAATAAAATTGTCTTGCATTCAAGGACTTTGCCATGGTAGAAGCTCTCCTGAAAAAAAATTCCATTTATTGTGGACATCATTACACAGGGTTTACCTGTTTATCAGCATTATAAACTTTGTGATTTTTTTTACCTGGGCCATACATGTATTGAATGAAAAAAATTCATAGAACCAAAGGGGTTTTTTAAAATGTAAGGTTTCTTGTTGTTCATCCTTTTTTAATTAGCTGCTATTAACAAAACTTTTTTTATTGGAAATAAAACTTAATCACATAAAAAACCAAAAAACAGGGGTTTTGGGTTTTATTTTTTTATTATCATTAGTATCATTTTTGTGTGAAATTTTATAATCATCCATTTTTTGTTCCCCCTTACCATATTTTACAAATTTTATGCATTTTTAACTTGCATTTCAATTTTTGACTTGTTATTCTTAACAAAAAATTGGGGGTACTGTGAGCAATGAGCTCACTAAATGATCCCCCCCTCCATATGATTATAAAGGAAAAGTTCATGTTTTGCTGTGGGCCGGGGAAAACCCCAAAAAATATGTCGGATCAAAAAATAAAATAGGGGTGCACAATTAACAATATGTAATAAAGATTTTATAAAAGGGTTTTATTAAATTTAACTCAGTGGTATGAGGAAATTTCGGTGGAGATGATTTCCCAAAGCGTAACAGATTGACGGACCCCTAAGTTTCAGCTAGACGGACGGACTACCCCATTTGGGGTTTCCCTCCCCCTGTTAAGCGGGGGGGATAAAAATGTTAAAATTGGGGTTTTTTGCTATTTACTCACTCATTCTCAATGTTCCCTTCAAAAGGGAGACATATTGTTTATTCTTGTTCCCTTTGGGTTTTAATACTACAATCAATCAAAATATTTATCACACCCCCCCCCCCCTTTTAAAAAGGAATTTATGCTTCAAATATGTGTCATAAAGTTTTGCACACGAGAACTTGCAATCATGCTTCCCCTATCAGTACTTTCAGTACTTTGATTTTTTATAAACATACTTTTAAAATTGTCTAGTTTTGTAATTTTTAAATCAATAACTAAAACATTTTACTTTAAACCTAGAATATTAAAATCTCCCATGTTGTTACATCTTTCCTAATTTAATTTAAGGTCCCATTTATCACATTTTTTCTACATTATGACAATTAATGAAACACCACACTAAAACTTTCCCTTTTCTAAAAAAAAAATAAATATTTTTAAAACATTTCATCCAGTTTATTAATGAAATCAGCCCCTTTATTTTGTGTATTTTATGATCTTCACAATTCCACTCTCATACTCCCCCACCCACAATCGCCCTATTGTGTCCACACTCATTTTTCCACAGAAATCCAGACTACAGAGAAACTGACCGTCCTGATTAATGATGTGAGTACAGCAATTCCCGCCATCCTCTACTATTATACGATCAGCGGAGTTTGTTTTAATAGCGATAGGATAAAACTGTTTTTTCATCGTTTGTTGTCCTTTATATGGAACGGTTTCCAGCCTTCGTTCACCACAACGATATCTTTAGCATTACAATGCAGATGCACAAATATCCCCGTTGTTGTTTTCTGTTACAAACAGCATCTTTTTTCCTCCCCTATATAGTGGTTTACCTTGGTCGTCCTTTTCTATCTCCTGCTTTATTGTTTGACCTTCATAACGGACAATTTTATAATGTTCTTCATTAAATGTACACATACTGACCAGTACGTCACCTGATTCTGTGCAACACAGTCCTACTGGTTTCCATAATCGTGGTGTTGTAATCTGTGCTGTTGTCTGTGGACATCATTAATTATTTGATTTTCAAAGTCTGTGTACAGTAGATGTCCTTCATTTGAAACTGAAATATCAGTAGGATGATTTCGACAAGTAGAAGTTATGGTTTCCTGTACAGAACCTTGTACGTTAATACGAGTGATGGTTTTAAGATTCTTCCCCGTTACCCACACCTCCTCTGTATTTACACATGCAATCCTATTCAACGGTGTTATTCCAGTGTGGAAGGATGCGATTTTTATGGCTTTGTCTAGAAGCGCACTGGATACATCTAATCTGTTGATCGGTTCTGTTTGGATCTAGGTTCCTTTACTTTCCCAAAATCTTGGTAAAGTTTACCTTTATCTATGTCCTTGGAAGCAAAAGCTGGTAGTTCCAGATCTATTTGTAAGGAGATATTAAGATACTTCTGAATATGGCTTTCATATCTTGTGATGTCACTAACGTCCATGGACTGAGAAATCTTTTTGTTCTCCAGAGCAATTTTATTCAGTCTTGCAAGATTATTTTTGATTTCTTTTTGGTATTCTTTTAATTTCTTTATGCCATTTCCTCTCATTTCTGCAATATCTCTCTTGTTTTTCGCTACGATTTCTTCAATGCATCGCTGCCATTTTAGCCCATGCTTTGTGACTGACTGTTCTAATTCGTCACATTTAGCATTTAAAGCCGCAATTTTCGATTCTAATTCTGTATCTGCTTTTTCAAATTTTGGAATGATATCTTCCTTTAGATAAGCTGAGTCTTTCTCCACCAGCTTTTTCTTTTCATCAACAATGTCCTTGATTTCAATAATTTTATGCCCATTATGGGCTCCGCTGAGGCATTTGAGGCAAACTTCTACATCACAGTTCTGGCACTTAACAGTACACTTTTCGCAACTATGAGCTTTGCAGTTTGGAAATGAAAGATGGAATTTTCTCTCTCGGTATTTGACAATTTCGTGATTGGAGGACGATGACGTCATATAGTGTTTTCCGACGCATTCTTCACATAAGTTGACCTGACAGGGATTACAGTGAAGAAGGGCGGGTCTCCTGTCACAAAGGTGACACAGGATAACGTCTTGTGCTCTAGTTGTACTGGTGGCCATCTTTGGCAATGTTACAAAGTTCCTACCAATTCAATCTAAAAGCAGACGAAATACTCCATAAATTCTAGGTTTAGGTTGCAGCATGTGTAACTTTTGCTTTAAATTCCATTTAAAGACAAGGTTAATCATTCAATGAAGACATTTGTTTGTTTTTGTTGTTTTTTTTAATCTGCTCGTAATTATCATTTGCCTTGATAGATTCCACACAGTCCTTTAGATTTTTTTATCCATCTTACGAAAGATTTTGGTGTAAAAAAATATTAAAACTAAATTTTAATATACACAGTATTTGATCAACGCATACTATCTATTGCTAAAGTCAGTATACTCCCTACGTGCCTTGTGGCAACGCACTTTGAAAAAATTACGCACTTTGAAAAATTTTTTCAAAGTGCGTTAAAATTGGGACAAAATCAACGCACTTTGAAAACATTTTTCAAAGTGCGTTAAATTTGGGACCAACTCAACGCACTTTGAAAAAATTTTTCAAAGTGCGTTAAGAGTCTACATCAATATATTTACCATGGAGACACTTAACGCACTTTGAAAAAAAAATCATATTTTAGTCAAGCCTAACCCTAACCTCAAAAATGAATTGATTTTACTCCCGTCGAAAAGAGGAGAAGACGGGTATAAGATCCCTCAGTCCAAATCTTTATCTTTCCAATACATAGGTGTCGGTAACAAACGGGGGAGGGGAGCAATAAACCTAAAAAAAGGGTACGCTGCATTTTCAATGCTTATACGATGTATATATCTTTCCAAAATAAGTGGGGGGGGGGGGCTTAGCCCCCCATACCCACCCCAGGCCCATCCCCCCGTCGCGATGTCTATGCTATACTCAAAGCATTCAAATAATTATATATTTACCTAACTGGTATGACGTTGAAAATTTTAATAATAAATGAGTTAATTAAAACAGATGAAAACTAAAAATTTTTTAAGTAAGTAAAACGTTGAGAGAAAGAATTTTCATAGTTTTGAACAATCAAATTGGCTCCTTTTTATTATGATAAATGTAAGTTTCTTGAAGCTGTCCTCTGTAGGCCCCCTATATCCCTTTTACATCTCTTTCAAAAATAGAATTTAAAAAAAGAAGAAACAATTAATAATTAAATAATCGTCATTTTTTTTCAAGACCCTTTAATTTTTCCCTTAATTTATTTTTCCAATTAATATTTAAAACTCAATATCTAGGTCCTAAGTGTTTTCTTAAAAATTATAAACCAGGATTGTTTTTTATCATAGTGACTTTTCTTAAAAAGTTGTCAAAACCGGGATTGTTTTTACATACCGATTATTTGGGGAAATTTGATCAATCTTTACATTTTTCTCAAAGTGCGTTAATATGGTCATTTTAACCATTTTAAAAAAATTTATTTTTTTAAAATCTTTTGGGCCCCCAAATTTTAACCATTTTAAAATTTTTTTTTTCAAAGTGCGTAATTTTTCAAAGTGCGTTGTAAATCCCTGTACTGTTTTTTCCCCGCGATATCCGGTCAGTAGCGAGTCTAGACATTTTTCAAATATTACCCTAAATATACAAAATTTAATTTATTTGTTGTGAATTATCAAACACTTTTTCCTACCTGTTTATATCAGCCTGTTGCATAGTTTTTAAAATTTCAAAATTTAATTCCATTTAAAATATTTTTTTTTGGGTATCAGTTATAAATATTTTTAGATTTGGGTACGCATCGGGCAGACACCGGTATGATTTTGAAAATAAATATTTTAAGATCTACCCCAATAACTTATTTTTTTTATACTTTTATAAATAAAAAAAAGAAAATTTCCTTTGATTCCCTCATAACAGGTTGTTTTAAAATCTCTATTCCCCAAAATTAATTTGGTTTGAAATGCTCAATTTTCAGTTGAGTTGTTTCCTTCCTACATAATTTAGTACATGTTTTTCACCTCAACAAAGGATTTTTGCTGTACCAAATCACTTGGTACACCACAACCCAAAACTTCATGGGTTAGTAATCTTCCATTGTTGCATAAATTATTACAAATATTACCAATGATTTGTAAAAACTTACAATGAACAATGGACCTGATCTGCTAAAGTAAAAAATCTACTAGTTTCATAAATTATACAGGAAGAAAAATTTCTTTCTCTTCCCCTGTCTTTTTTTGAATTATTCAACTGAAGCCAAAATTAAAACATGAAAAAAATTAATTAAAATCAAAAGTAAAAGAGAAATTTAAGAAATGTCTACTAATTGATTGAATATTTTGGAAATTTTCCATTTCACTGGTACTCTTTCAGAATTTTCATTGAGAAGTGAGAACAATAAAATTTTCTTCTTTTAATTTTTTAAACAGAAATGGACTGATTGCCAGGAAACAGCAAAGAGTCTAAGTATGATCTTTTTTAAGAAGTTCAAATACGTTGGAACTGTCCTATATTGCTCAAGTAGTGTACATGTATATCCAATCGTAAACCTTTCTTTTCCAGCTTTTCGTTTTCTATGGAATTCTTTGCTTTAAGGAGATATATTTATCAATTTTACCACCTAAAACAAATGTGTAATAATGTCCACAAAAATAAAATGTTCCTGACTAAAATCCATCCAAATGACATGACTATCCTCATTAAGAAGTTTTTGAATCTTAGACCGGGAATATTAACTGGCAAAATTGGAAATATACAGCTTAAACGTCATTTCTATCTGTTACAATCAAAACATTCAGTGATAGACAATGAAATGGGCGGGTACAATTCGACGCGGACGTGGGGAAAACATCGGATAGAAATTGCAGATCGAAATTCATTTTCAATCCACTTTAGCTGTTTTCAAAGCAAAGAGTGAATGTATGATCCAAAAATCAACTAATTTTAACCCCCAAATCATTTGTTTCAAGTTCACATTAATATGAGTTTTAGCTTATGATTTTAAGAACGCGAAAGATCAAAGAAGACAAAGATTATTTTTCAGGAGATATTTGATTCTAGAAGGGGGGGGGGGTAAAAATTGTCGAGTCAGGTCATGGCTTAACATGACAATATATTTTATTTCTAGGATTATAAGAGTGCATGAGCTTTATACTTATTTATTCTCACTGAAAACTGTTGGACAACTTTATTTAAAAATCGTTCAACCCTCCCCCCCCCAACCACCAATACAAAGATATACATATATTTACCAAACAGAAATGAAATATTTGTCCCTTAGATATTAATTTATTTAAAACACTGTACCAAAAAATTCAAACTGTAACAAAATTGAAATTATTTGTCTTCTTTTGTCTTCTGGGTCATTCAGTAACAATGTGCGTTTTAGCGTAGCTGAGGTGGATTTCGATCTGCAATTTCAATCCGATGTTTTCCCCTGTCCGCATCGAATTGTACCCGCCCATTTCATTGTCTATCACTGAATGTTTTGATTGTAACAGATAGAAATGACGTAAGCTGTATATTTCCAATTTTGCCAGTTAATGTTCCGCGGTCTTACGGAAATGAACCTGTATCGTGTCTGAAAACTACTCACTGTAGACCGTCACCTGACAGGTAGATATTACCCCGAGGGTATTATTATTACATCTGGGCCTGTACAAAATGGCAACAGTCAGGGTCAAACTATCGTTATCTTGATTGAATAATACGAAACACACAAAGATTTGCAATTAAGGGGGGACCTATGTCCAAAAGTCTTTGTGTGAAAATTTTCAAAACTTTGACATTTTTCCTTACCACTTGCTCTTAATTTTTAGGTATTAAAAACAATACCTTTATATGCTTATTTTTACACAAAAGCACGTGCAAAAACAGTGTGAAATGCTAAAAATAGACATTTTCAGACATTATTGTTCTACTCCAAATATGCGCTAAAAAGTACCAAAAATGTCAAATCACATTCAAAATCAACAGGTATTTAATTTATATGACTTGTATCTTTAAAATGAAGGAAAATTCATTGTAATTCATCTCGCATGAAAAATTATAAAGGAGCACAATGTAAGTATCATCCTGTTTTTCTTGTCGTATTTTTTACAATTCCGACATGCATAACAGGTAATATCTTAAAAAGTCTTTTGTGAAAATGTTGTAATTCATATTTTTTGAAAGAAAGGATTCCTCTCTTTATTTTAACAAAGAAAAAAGTATACCTTTATGATAAAATAAACGAGAAATATGATTTTCTTTTATTTTCGTACTCTTCTGTCATAAAT